CTGGTACTCAATTAAAAACATTTTATTTAGGCCTATGTATGGCCTTCAAAAAGTTGTGGATGACGTTGTAACGTCGAAACATGTAGAGTCGCCAAAGATAGGCCTAAATAAAATGTTTTAAATTGTGTACCAGTTTAACGTTGAACGGCTCATTTGAAACTTATTGTATTTTTATTAGATTTTACGATTTTAGTATTTCTGCCTAATAGACATTCCGCATCTTTGTGTTTACTGTAAACGGAGCTTAGATGTTCTTCCTGTTTTTTTTCCTGAAAAGTAGTTTTCAACTTTACTGTACAAACTTTCTCTATTTCAAAGACGCCCGAGTTTTTCTTCTCACGGAACCAGTCTAAGTTTCTGACAATGTCTTTTCGAATTACGTCTATTAAAACCTCCTATACAGATCTGTATGAGAAAAAGAGCCGCGCAATTCTTTCTTCATCAAATAATTGTCTCTTCACGGGGGTCGGATGCTGCCTCGAGGATATAAAGTTGCCCGTTTTTAATTTGTAATAAGAAAATAACTACACATCATGTTGGTAGCACAGAATAAGATGCGTGACTTCAGGTAACCAAGGCCGACATGGTGACGACATCTGATTTGTTGCGGTAATTTCCCAGAAAACCATGCGAGTTCGTGTTTGTTACTTGTGGTTGTGAATCTACTGAAAAAGTAAATGTCTTACGTTTTTTACGGTTGGCAATAAATTTAAATCTACGTTGCTTGAGAAGTGATTAGCGAAAACATTTCTTATTTGTGAATGAAATGGTTTGTCAATTTGTTAGAGTTTTCTCTTATTTGAAAAAAAAACAAAAAAAAATCAGAGAGAGGGACTTCTACCAAGACAGGTAGCTTATTCACTAACTTTATCATTTCGTACCAGTATTTTCAACAACGTACCTTGTCATGTGATGTTTATTTTTTGGTGAGTTTCTAGTTACAATTTATTTGCTGTTGTGTTGGAGTTGATATGTTTCTCTTTATACGTTTTATATGATTCTGTGTTGGAGTTTTCATGTTTCCTTAACTAGATGCTACATATACCGTTGTATATAAAAATAGCACGAAAATCATCAACTGTATTATCCTAATTTCTGTGCAAACAGAAGATCAGGATAACACAGTTGATGATGCTCGTGCTTTATACTGTACAGAAGATTGGGATAATACACTTTATGTTCGTGTTTTATACTGTAGAGAAGATTAGGATAATACAGTTGATGATATTTGTGTTTTATACTGTACAAAAGATCAGGATAATACAGTTGATGATGCTCGTGCTTTATACTGTACAGAAGATTGGGATAATACACTTTATGTTCGTGTTTTATGCTGTACAAAAGATCAGGATAATACAGTTGATGATGCTCGTGTTTTATACTGTACAGAATATTAGGATAATACACTTTATGTTCGCGTTTTATGCTGTACAGAAGATTGGGATAATACACTTTATGTTCGTGTTTTATGACAGCATAAAACGCGAACATAAAGTGTATTATCCTAATATTCTGTACAGTATAAAACACAAATATCATCAACTGTATTATCCTGATCTTCTGTACAGCATGAAACACAAACATCACCAACTGTATTATCCTAATCTTCAGTACAGCGTGAAACACAAACATTACCAACTGTATTATCCTAATCTTCTGTACAGTATAAAGCACGAATATAATCAACTGTATTATCCTAAACTTTTCTACAACATAAATCACGAACATCAGCAACTGTATTATTCTAACCTTCTGTAAAGTATAAAACACGAACATAAAGTGTATTATGCTAATCTTCTAGACAGTATAAAATACGAACAGCATTTCAAGTGTATTGTTCCAATCTTTTGTACAGCATAAAACGCGAACATAAAGTGTATTATCCTAACAACAATATTGGAACTGTCGTTTTGGAAGGATTAGCTAACAACAATACTAGAACTGTCACAGTAACATTAATTCAGTTAACATTATAATAAAAATTAGTTAGAGACTAAAATGAAAATGGCAGGTTTTTCTTCTGTTTGTATTCTCTCAAATATACATACATATATGACTGTACTGAAGTGTGTCATAAAAGAATTACAGAACTTTCATGAGATCTGCAGGTGTAATAAAAGTGTCAGTTTTGCATTCATTATTAAGTATTTGGTATTTTCAACTTCAATGGCACCTTGTGCAACACGTAGGCAAAAGGAACAGGTCAAACGCCACAAAGCTTAGCCATAACCAGGAAGAGGGGAACCAGTCAGCAGAATCCGCCGTCTAGATAGCGGAAATCTCTGCCACCTTTACACTACGTTCACAGCATAAAGTGTAGATAATGTTCGAAAGCCCAGGCTAGTTGAACTAAGATTTGATCTTAAATGTTATGTTAGTTCGAAGACAGAGAAAGACTAGCTGAATTAAGATTTGGTCGTAAAGCTTGTCAATTTCCCTATAATTTAATTTCCTGGTTTTTAAATGCCACATTTATACCCTTCTATACGTATTCTTTAGTTTGTTTTACCTCTGTTGAGTGTCGCTACGGTTGTTAGGTTATCACAACGAATTAATACTTTAAGAATTCATACCATATTTTTGAATCTTATTCACTGCGAAATACCTATAATTATCAAACCAGCCGAAATCTTCAGTTCTGAAAACGAAAGATATGTATAATAAAAAGAAACATTACACGTTGAAAAAGCCCATGCCACCCCCTTACATTATGAGTATTTATCGTTTTGAAGATATGTAGTTGTTAAACGGCAGCTGGGTTTATAATGGTAATGATACCTACTGCTTTAACTGTGAATGTACTAGTAAGGTGTCTTGCCTTCTGAATAACATTCACTGGTTTATCTTTTGGATTGGTAAGGTGTCTTGTTTCACTCTGAGTGATATTCACCCGTGGTTAGGTTGGTAAGTGATTGTCACTTTTGGCTAGATTAGTAAGTGATAGTCACTGGTTCACCAGCTGTCTTGAAAACATTTTAAGTTTACTGGTTATTCTCTTTGCAAAAACTGGTTGATTCAATGCTTTTGTTGAAATGTAAAAATGTATCTCTACAATCATGTGATTAAAGCTATGTTACATATTTTAAGGCAGAGTATCTTGACTTCTAACAATTCTTCTTACTAGATAGTCTCTTGTGGATTATGGTAGACCATAAAACTTCATTTTAATTTCGTTACAGATTCCTTAAATTTCTACCAATTTTCTCTTTATTATTTCTCTGTATTAGACAAATTGTTTAATTACTTTGTGTTAGAAGATTGGTATCTTAGTTCAAATTGTTACTAAAAGTTAATCTTGAGATGGCTGATCCTTCTTTTTTACCCTTAAAATCATATCAATATCTTTTGGCGCTATTTGACAGAATAATATTAGAAGGAAGAAGTGTTCTACGAACAAATACTTTTTTATGCATCCCTTCAAATAATCTCAACTTACTTTTCTGTTTTCGTGCCACCTGTGTGTTTGGTGGGTTACGTTTAGCTACAATTTGTGATACAAACAATTTGATCCTTACCTTCTGTTTTGGTACCACGTCTTCACTTGGGTGTCTGTTAGATTAAGTTTAGCGGCAAGTTCCATTCGATCCTGGACACTGAGGTACTTTTGTCTTTCAAAACTTTTTTCCAATGTCTAGAGCATAAATACATAAAAACAGCTTATAAGCCGGACGGTTACATTCAATTGATATAATATTAAAGGTTTAAATTTCTATTTCATGTATTTAAAACGAATTCTATAACAACATTCCAAGTCCGGGTTATGACCCAGTTACCAGTAATTTACTAAAGTTATAACTGCATTCTAAATGTAGAGTGTCAGATAATTACCAGTAATTTAGTAAAGTTATAATAACATTAAAAGTGTGGATTATCACCTATATACTGATAATTTACTATAATTATAATAATACCTTGAGTATGAACTATCACCTAGTTACAAATTACTTAGGTAAGTTATAATAACATTCTAGTTAACAGTTATTTTGGAAAGTTAGGACAACATTTCGAGTGTGGGTTATCACTTAGCTACCACTAATTTACTAAAGTAACAATAATTACCAAAGCTACCAGTAATTTAATGAAGGGACAATAATTCCCCAAGTTATCAGTAATTTAATAAAGGGACAATAATTCCCCAAGCTATTAGTAATTTACTAAAGTAACAATAACTACTCAAGCTACCAGTAATTTACTAAAATAACAATAACTAGCAATATACTAAAGTAACAATAACTACCCAAGCTACCAGTAATTTAATGAAGGGACAATAATTCCCCAAGCTACCAGTAATTTAATGAAGGGACAATAATTCCCCAAGCTACCAGTAATTTAATGAAGGGACAATAATTCCCCAAGCTATCAGTAATTTAATAAAGGGACAATAATTCCCCAAGCTATCAGTAATTTAATAAAGTGACAATAACAACACAAGCTATCAGTAATTTAATAAAGTGGCAATACCTACCCAAGCTATCAGTAATTTAATAAGGTGACAATAACTACACAAGCTGCCAGTAATTTAATAAATTGAAAATAACTACTCAAGCTACCAGTAATTTACTAAAGTGGCAATACCTACCCAAGCTATCAGTAATTTACTAAAATGACAGTAACTACCCCAGCTAATAGTAATTTACTAAAGTGACAATACCTACCCAAGCTACCAGTAATTTAATAAAGTGACAATAATTACCCAATCCACCAGTAACTTAATAAAGTGACAATAACTACCCAAGCTACCAGTAATTTGCTAAAGTGACAATATCAACACAAGCTACCAGTAATTTAATAAAGTGACAATAACTACCCAAGCTATCTGTAATTTAATAAAGTGACAATAATTACTCAATCTACCAATAACTTATTAAAGGGAAAATACACAAGCTACCAGTAATTTAATAAAGTGAGAAGAACTACCCAAGCTATTAGTAATTTACTAAAATGACAATAATTACCCAATCCACTAGTAACTTAATAAAGTGACAATAACTACCCAAGCTACCAGTAATTTAATAAAGTGACAATAACTACCCAAGCTACCAGTAATTTACTAAAGTGACAATAATTACACAAGCTCCCAGCAATTTGCTAAAGTGACAATATCTACACAAGCTATCAGTAATTTACAAAGGTAACAATAACTACTCAAGCTGCCAGTATTTTACTAAAGTGACAACAACTTCTCAAGCTACCAGTAATTTAATAAAATAACAATAACTACCCAGCTACCAGTAATTAATGAAGGGACAATAATTCCCCAAGCTACCAGTAATTAATGAAGGGACAATAATTCCCCAAGTTACCAGTAATTAATGAAGGGACAATAATTCCCCAAGCTATCAGTAATTTAATAAAGAGACAATAATTACACAAGCTGCCAGTAATTTAATAAAATGACAGTAACTACTTAAGCTTCCAGTAATTTAATAAAATGACAATAACTACTTAAGCTTCCAGTAATTTACTAAAGTGACAATATCTACCCAAGCTACCAGTAATTTAATAAAGTGACAATAATTACTCAATCTACCAGTAACTTAATAAAGTGACAATAATTACTCAATCTACCAGTAACTTAATAAACTGACAATAATTACTCAATCTACCAGTAACTTAATAAAGTGACAATAACTACCCAAGCTACCAGTAATTTAATAAACTGACAATAACTACCCAAGCTACCAGTAATTTACTGAAGTGACAGTAACTATCCAAGCTACCAGTAATTTACTGAAGTGACAATAACTACCCAAGCTATCAGTAATTTAATAAAATGACAATAACTACCCAAGCTATCAGTAATTTACTAAAGTAACAATAACTACTCAAGCTACCAGTAATTTACTAAAGTGACAATAACTACACAAGCTACCAGTAATTTACTAAAGTGACAATAACTACACAAGTTACCAGTAATTTACTAAAGTGACAATAACTACCTCGCCTATCAGTAATCTAGTAAAGTGACAATATATACACAAGCTACCAGTAATTTACTAAAATGACAATAACTACCCAAGCTATCAGTAATTTAGGAAAGGTATAATAAAGTTCCAAAAGTATTTTGTCACTTAGCCAACAGTAATAACATCTCGAGTGTGGATTATTACTTAGGTCCAACAGATTAATATACAATTTAACAACATCACGAGTATTGCTTCAGTTTGATATTAATTTGATGAATTTATCTAACAGCCGAAACATAAGGCATTAGTGATATTGTTCTGATTTTTTATTAAGAATAGTGATTATTATTGTATAATATTTAGAAGGTCCTCTAGTAGAAGTTTTTGGAATGACAATTAATGATAAATAGTCTTGATGATGAGTAACAGACATACTACAGAAAGCGTCTGTGACCAGTTCTTTAACGACGTGTAGAAGAAAAACTTGGATAAAAGATAATAAAGAATAAATTGACATGTATAAATGAAAACCTTATCTAGTTTTATTTTCTGCGACGTTTCGAGCAGACGACCTTCGTCAGGCAGTAAAGACCTTGTTACAATGGAATTATGCTCAGAAAGAATCGTATAACGGTAATGAAATACAAAGGTTTTAATAACACGCGTATCAACAACTTACCGATATTTCCATGGGTAGAAACATGGGTCCTTCTCTCGCTAATATATTTGTTGGCTACACCAAGGAACGCCACATTTGATGATATTTTCCACGACTTCTTTGACTATATTTTAAGTGTTGTTAGATGTACCAAGTATAAAAGTTCACCAACTAACTAATATTTAGGTTCGATACATCTACATATTACTCTCTTAAAACAACCATACACTACACAGGCACAGATAGTCACGCTTATCTAGACTATTGCTCTTTCCATCCCTATGAAACCAAGGCTGCAATTCCTAAAGAGCAGTTCACGTGATTGAGACGCTTATGTTCTGAGGATCAATACCTTCTCTCCAAAACCACTGAGATGGCAGGATTTTTCCTACAACCCAATTACCAGGCCGATATCATCAAAAAAGTCCATAACCATATACATACTGTATCCAATGCCAACGCCACCTAACCAAAGGATAAACGTTACCATGATAGAACCCCCTTGCTTTCAATATACCGTCCCCTCAACAAGTTAGCAGCAAATATCATAGAAAAATAATTTAAAACTAATATTGACTGACCCTACAAAACAACCTCAAAGACCACTTGATGTACTCGGAGCTACAGAACAACAATCCCCCAGTTATACCATAGAAATTTGTTATACCTGTCCATACATTTCAAACAATAACACAATAACTGGCCCAAGTCCAATGTAGCAGGTGTCACAAACTATATGTTGGAGAAACATCCCGCACTATGGATGATCATTTTCTTGAACACTTAACTCCACTGACTTCCCAGTTCCTTGAAACTTTAATTCTCCTGACAACAACGGCTCTTCCGACATTGTAGTTTCGGTCATGAAAAATGCACCACTTAACAAATTAACACGAGAAAACCTTGAACACCGTCTTATCTGCCAACTAAACATCAAATCCCCTTATAGTATTAGCGAAAGATTTACTATCAAATATTTATAAAACTCCGTCAACAATCTCTTTAATTTCATTCCCTCAACTCTTTACCTTATCTGTTACTCCTTGTTAAATCTCCATTTTCAACCTTACGTATGTTCTTCCCATAATTATTTTACTCGACAGTTATTTTATTTTATTAGGCTATTATTTCATTATTTTGCAAAGTTATGTTTATTATTTCCATGTGTTTACATTTCTGAGTCAAATTTTAGTTTTTAAAATTACTTCTTCTCCATATTCTTGCTAATTTCAATAATACTTACGTAATAAGTTCAACAATGTTTTTATCAGTATTTTTGTCACCGTGCTTCACATTGAATGTGGGTAAGTAGAAGCTTTATATTTGCTTACCTTTTAACGATTATTTCAGAGTCTAATTCCATTGTAACACGGTCTTTATTGCCTGCCCGAAATATCGCACAATATAATACTAGTATAATTTTCATTTAGATGTATAATTTATTCCTTAATATATTTTATCCACTTCCATGACCAATCATTCTCTTTCGCTTATATCATTATTTGGGTATCCTCGCTACTGGCAGTGTTTTTGGCCCTAACATGTTACTGAGTTATAATTTTATTCTATGGAAATTTAATTGAACTTCTTAATAAACTTGTAACGACTATGACATTTAATATTAAACTAACAAAACTTAAAAACCTTTTGTAACGTTGATCAACGATAATAATTAAATAACAAATCAAGTTACCTGAAGCTGGTGATCGCTGAAAGCTGTCCGGGCCTTTCTTGGTTTCTTAGCTTTGAGATTAATATTACGAGACTCTTCCTCTTTTGAATCTAAGAAAATAATAAAGACTAGATACTAAATAATAAACACTAGATACTAAACACTAGATACTAAATAATAAACACTAGATACTAAATAATAAACACTAGATACTAAACACTAGATACTAAATAATAAACACTA